CAAAAAAAAAGAAAAGCAACAACCCAGGTACAAACTATTACTCAGAACTCAAAAACCAAACCAGAGCTGAAAGGACACTTAAAGTAGAATCTCACCGGCAAGTAGCAATTCTGCTTGACCCAGTACAAAAAAAATACTTACATTTTAGAAAGTGTACCTCTGGATATGCCTGGATAACAGCATGAACAGACAGTATCATGTTAATTACAGGGTGACAAACAGCAATTAGTGGAAGAGGATCATAATCCACAGACTGTGCAGGGAACCTGAATTGCATGAGTTCGCCACAGACCCAAGCGGAACAGCTTAAAAACCTACAAACTAATAAAACCTATTTCAAGAAGAAAGACTGTAAGACAGTCTACAGGGTTGGTTGACATTCAGAATATGGTAAGAATATCAATGACAGCACAAAAGCTAAATGATTTTTTTTCCCATCAGTCAGAGTTAATTATTGAGACCTTTAGGAAAGTTTCCCACATTGAAACTCTTTAGGAAGGCTGAGATTCTCCAGATCTTAATACAATACTACACCCATTCCCCCTCTCCCCCGCAAGAGTAACCAACTCTGGAGTAACACGTAATAGTCACTCAGAGGTCCTGGAGAAACTGAAAAATTAAATTACTAACAGCTACAGTAACGAGGTACACCTGGTACCAAAGAAATGAAGGGTAATAAATGGAATGCTGGATTTTGATCTGTAATTGATTGCCTGTAATCCTGGGATGAACTCCGTGAAAGTACCACAGACAAGCCAAGGTAATCTTTGCACTTGCCTAGCAGGGAAAGAAAGAAAAAAAGCTGTAATAATGTAACCGACAATTCTGAGGGTAGACTCAAAACTACAAGAGTCTCTTGGAGAAGACAGTCCTGCTACAGTTCAGTGAAATTCAATGAATACATATAGGTAACAGTTGATTTGTTTAAGAGAATGAACTTGGATTTTCCGATGTCTTTGACAAGATCCTTAGCCCTATATTGTCTTTTAGCTAAAAACTACGCATCATCTCCAACGCCACATGAACTTGGAAATCAGCACAAATACCAAGGTTGAAAAGTTTCATCAACAACACTGAATTATTCAGACTAGTCAAAAAACTCACTGACAAATTGCAGAAAGATTTTGAATACCACATACTCAAATGATAAAATATCAGGAAATCAAATGTATGGTATGCCTTGTAGGACTCTTTGCCAAGAAATTCTCATCCTGAAGCTGTTTACATGTGTAAACAGACACTCGGAAGAGAGACCCACTGAGTGGCTGAGCGCCATCAGGCTGAGAAAATCTCCCAAGCCAAAAGCAGCTGACAGCTAAGGGAACACTTTGATGAAGTATCATTTATGTTTGTCCTGTTCTTACTCTCCCCTGAGCATCTGTTTATGACTACTGCTGGAGAAAGGACAGTTGGCTAGCTGGACTCATGGTACAAAGCAGTACAGCTATTCTAACATAGACAAAGTAAAGCACACTAAGGGCAGGGAGGGGGAGAAGCCCCAATTTTGTTTACAGCATGTTTGTCTATATTAGTCCTTAGGAAACAAAGATATCATAAGTTTTGGTAAACATATCTAAGAAACACTCTCTCAGTTATCAACAGTGTTCCAAGAGGAAAAAAATTTAAAAATTATAGGGATGAGTAAGACTAGAAAATGAAAGAGAATACTGCAATGATAAACCCATAGGACTTCTCTAGTTTGAATGATATACAGTTCAGGTCCTTCTAATGAAAAGAAGAAAAAAAGTGACATAGCAGAATTTAAGATACAGCAAAAAAAAACAAAGTAAGAGAAGATAAAAGGTGCAGAATGTCTTTGGTGTAAGGGTTTGGAAAAGTGGTAAAAAAGAAAATATAACACCATGCTCTACAAGAGTCATAGATGACACGTATGAAATGTAAGCAGAATGAGATTATTGCCCATTTCTCATACCACAACCGCAGCACAGCATCAAACAAAATAAAGCAGCAGTTTTGAACAACCACTTGAAGCAAACTAAAAGATTGGGGTTTTTTGTAGACTGAAAAGTTTTTCCAGCAAGGTGAAGCTTATTCTGCACCGTCTAGGCAATTGCACAAATCCATAGGAAAAGAACCACATCAATGACTAAACACAAATCTCTCTGGGTCAAGTACTCCTTCCTAAGCCCCAGCTCACTGAAAGGAATTATGCTAGCAAGCTTGCACTTTTCCTTCCCTAACCTTAGGGCCACTGTCAGTATTTCAGTCCAGCACAGATGTTTATTGGTTTCAGCCACTGCAGCTGCTCTCCCAAGTTTTTTGTAGGTTCTAAGAGCAGAAACCCTGCACAGATTTTTGCCTTGTACCCAAAAACATAATGCAAGACTTGTACTAGACAAGGGAGCCCTTCTTGGCATTTCATCTGTATTGTTACCTTCCAAATTTTTTTGATCCCTGTGGATGGCCACTCAACATAACAACAACTAACGGAGCTGGTAGGTCCAACAACCCTACTGGGAACAACCCTTGAACTGCCGGTGTGCACAGCATACACTGAGCGAGGACTGTCATCTCCCAGCTGAGCCGCAGTTAGGTCTCTTCTGGACGGCCAGCTGTCAGAGCAAAAACGAAAGCAGCCACCACTTCGTAACACAAGTTTCGGCATTAACAATAACACAACATTTCGGCTGACAAGAAGGTCAACAACAAATCCCGTGTCCGAACACCTAAGAAGTCGGGAAACAGAAGAAAATGGGACGTTCTGAGCCGCCTTCACTAGCGGCGGCACGACGCCCTTTCAGGACGCCCGCTGCCCG